GTATTTATGATAAGCATCTTAAAGTTATAACTATTAAAAGAATCAGTTTTATTATTATTTCTTTTTTTAAATTTATTTTGAAAAATTCAAGAAAATGAATATTAGAAAAATGCTATTGAAGGGTTTAATGATTCTATAAAATAAGCTTGATAGTATTAATAATGAATTAGGTATTGATTATAAAGAATTTTAAAGAAGCTTTAGGAAGCATTAGTTTATATTATTTTCAAATTTTTTTGAAATATTATTTTTCAAATTCTTTCGATTATTTTTTCGAAAATTTTCAAAAAATTTTTTGCAATTTTTCGAAAAACACTTTTTTTCGAAAATTTTTGAAAAATTTGCGCATTTTTTTGTTATTCTTTCATTATACAAATTTTTTCGAAATTTTTCGCACTTTAAAATTTGTTGATGGTTTTAAACAATCTATTTAAATACTTGACACTCTTTAATAATGAATTTGTTTGATTGGATTTTAGTGATTTTAAGCTCAATTGTCTCATTAATGTGGTTATTTTGCGATAAATTCATCCAGAATAGATTGGTATATCAAAAGTTATTCATTTCAAAAGTTTGTGTTAACTTTTAAAATTAGCTGATATGAAATATCTATATTGTATGCGTACTATTTTATTATATATTAATGGTTTCTAAAACTTATTTCATACTAATTGTCTTGTTCTAAGTTTTTCTTATGAATTATATTTTTTAACTTAAAGTTTTATAATAATTTTGCTAAATTTTTATTCATTGATAAGTTTTTTGATTCTTGGATTTGTGAATCAAGTTCAAGTAGTTAGCAATAATCTAGAAGTAAGAGAATATTATTGCCTCGTCGCATATAATAACTCTGTCTATTTATTTGGTGGCTATATTAAATAGTTTATATGAGCAGTAAATTCATTTTTTCATATAGCAAAAATGCTATTTGTAACTTCTTCAATTCTATGAGTAGCTCTTAATACTGCTAATATAGTCAATACTTACAATATGATATGTGTTGTAGAACCTTTAATGGGTTTGCTATTAGTCATTAGTAGATCTTTGGAACAAAATCTAGTCTATCAAGGATTACAAGTTTACAACTTTAAATCAGATATTTGAAATGAAGCTCAATATTTAGTTGAACATTCTATAGATATCAATATGGGAATTTTCCAACCCCGATCTGTTTTAATTCAACTGAGAATTGTCCTTATCTGGAGCAGAAAACATTATTATTTTATACTCTGTATTATTTATAAGTTGAATATGACAGTAACACCATAGAAATAGAAAAATATTTCTTATAACATAAGTATTATATTAACTAGTAAATCTTAATTATTAAACAAACGTAATAAAATGATCACTCTCTATAAACAGAATCTATTCTAAATTCAGTTGGAATTGCTCATTCAAAAGAAAGAGTTTTTATTTTCAGTAGCATAGAAACATTTAATAAGATCAATCCAACCCTAAAAAAAGGAGTCTCAACAAATTTATTATATATCTATAATATTATAGTATCTCAAATTATTACACTAGACTATCAACTTACTTTTGCTTTTACTCATTCAGTAGTAGATGTTGTTGGTGATTCTATGTTTATTATTGTGCTTAGCTATAATGATTTTCTTGAAAATAGACAGATGTCTATTATTCCTCTTAATATAGCCTGACTTAAATTTGAAATTTCTTTTGAAATATCTTCCAATTTAATCAAAGCTCGATTTCGTGAAGCAGGATCCAATCTCCTGGATCAGATGTAATATTAGTAAATAAAACTCATATTCAAATTGATATTTGTATCTCATACTAGCTATTTACATGATATCAAATTAACAGATATATAGAGATATTACTTATCAAAATTCAAGCTCGCCTGATACAGATATTATATCTGATATGATGTTAGTATATAATATGACTTTTTGTTTGTGAACAAATACTGTAAATCTTGTGACAGATGCTTTAGACAATAATTTTGCCTTTCCTGAAAAAAATAAACTAACAAATTCTTCAAATCTTCGGTGACCAACAACAGCAATTGTTACTATTATTATATTTAGTACTACAACAATTGTTTTTATGATTATCATGATTTGTATCAAAATTTTAAATTTTAGAATATGAGAACTCTATTGTTTGAATAGGTTAGATTATCCACAGACAGCTATATAGAGTTGGTACTTGAAACCTTTTTTGCCAAACCTAAAAGTATCAGATTTGGATTATAGACTTTGAAACCCAAAACTTATCCAAGAATTTAAATTTTCATATAACTAGATAGTTGTGCAATATCATCACATAAAACCAGAAACAAAAATTTTTTAAATTATTAATAAAAATAAAATACTGTAAAATAGACTGATGCTTCAATTTTTTTATTTTAGTTTGAATTAAAATTTCAACAAAATTTGGCAACTTGTTGGAATCCTTCTTGAAATTGAATCCAATATAAGTAGACAATGTTAGTAAAGACCAATCAATCGAATAACATATTATATCCTATAATAATTTAAGTCCCAATATCAGAATATTAAATAAACTAACACATTTTTTAAGTAAATATTTCTTGCTCTGTTAATGTCTTTATCTATTTTTAATTTGCATCTTTTACATCTAAGAATATGAGATCTTATTATTCAATTTTTTATATCAACCATATGTCTTTAATGTATATTCTTTGCTACAAATGATAACTTGATTATTTGAATATTTACAAGATTTGTGAATCAAGAATTGTTGAAGATGAAAATGAAACTACATTAAAAAACTTCTCACAGTTTTTTTTGTTAATCTTTCTTTTGATCTTGTTTACTATATTTTAGTTTTCAAATTTTGGTAATAAGATCATAGAGTAATTATTACAAAGATAATTGGCTAATTTATAATGACATTCATTAACCAAATTATGAATCTTCTGTACGATTCTAATTATTTTCTTTTTCAATTAAAATTGTTTTCTCTTATTTATTCTTCCAAGAACTTTATCTTTGTCAGATTGTAAATAGTTGTACTTCTTTGATAATCAGAATAAGTATTTAATATTGTTAAATCTAAATTGAAAAACATGATCCTTTGGGTTATATCCTATCATGAAAGTTCAAATACCAGGATCGAGAGCGATTATTTCTTTCTTTGATTTATTATTTTCAAGAGGAATTGGAATCAAGAAATACTAATATTCTAACTTATTGTTCATTATCTCAAAGTTATATTTAATTTCTGATAATAGTTCACTTGCAATAATTTTCTTCAAGAAAGAAAAAATATCTTTGATACAATTAAAATCTTTAACTTGGATTGATATAGTTTAAGAAAATGATTTTTTTTTTAAGTAAAATTTCATTTTAAACTTGATCTTCTTGATCTTGTAAACTTTCAAACAAGTTTTGTAGTTCTTTAGAAATTCATATATCACATCATTATAGATATTATACAGTATTTCCAAAACTTAATATAATATAGTATTTTTATAGTTGCAATTGTTCACAACCTTTTTATGTAATGATTTCTTCAAAACTTCTTCATTTATATGATTCAGACAACAGTTATAAGTCTAACAGCAAGTATTTACTCATTTTGTTAAGAAAATTCATTATTGTTCTATTGAATATATATGAATTTTTCTTGTTTTTAACTTTTCAACTTCTTTTTCAATATCTTTTTCAATATCTTTTAAAAATAGAATATCTTTTTTAACCATATCTTGTTGTTCATAAATTAGAAAGTACTCTAGCTACAAGTGTTGGTCTCGGTCATAGTGTACTGGTGGTGCAACTAGAATATGTTTGGGTACTCATTATGGTAGCCAGATAAATGTTGAATAGCTAATTAGATTAGTATAGCCTAGTAATAGGTTGTAACATAATTCAAAAATTATATATATTCTTATGAATATATTTAATAAAAGCTTTGTTAGCTTTTCTAGCCAAGTTAAAAAAAAATAAAATAAAATAATTAATAAATTTAAAAAAAGAAATAATAATAAAACTGATTCTTTTAATAGTTATAACTTTAAGATGCTTATCATAAATAC